AGCGGGTGGTGGAGGGGCGGGGCCGCGAGCCCGCGCGGCCAATCCGCGGCGGGCCTGGTGGGGCGGGGCGCCGGGCCCTGGGCGGCTCCGCTCCGGGGGCGTGGCCAAAGAGAGGGGACAGCCAATCAGAGCGCGGGGGCGGGGCGCGCCGTCGGGGCGGCCCCCGTCGGGGTCGGGCGGTTCACTCTGAAGCCTACTGACGGCGGCTGCGCCACCGCGTGCACTGGGAGTGCTGTGCCAGGGCCAGAGCGCCGCGCTGGGCCAGAACCAGGGCACTCTGCCGGGGCTGGAGAGCTCTGCTGGGGCCGCTGCACCTCCCTCCGGGGCTCCCGCCGCCGGCGCTCCGAGTCACCTCCATCCCACCACAGGCCAGCAAGCAGCGCAGGGGTTATTTACAACCGTCCTCTTGGGGAAGCGTCATTATCGCTGCTGATTTTTCCAGCCGCACAGGAAGAAAAGGGACGTTTAGCTGTCATTAAAGGCGTGCAACTGCACAACAATTTCACGCTGCGTTAACTTACGTGTTTGCTTTTGCATATAAATTTTTAGGAAGAATAGAGGAAAAGCTGGCACTTGACCTTTAAGGCAGCTGTTGGTGTGATCAGCCAAGCGGGGAAGAGCAGCCCTTGCCCTGGGTGCACGGCTCTCCCGAGGGTGAGCGCAACGGGCTGGAGCTGGCGTGGGGCTCTCCACGCTCACCCGGTGACGTTAATCAAGAGGAAATCGTTTGGTGCTAATGAGAAGTAATTCAGAGCTCCCGAGGAATCCGGTTGTAACTCAGTGCTAATTAACCTCCAATTACTTAGAGTAAACAGATTGAATTTGGGATTGAGCACTGTCAACTGGCCTCCCCACTGACCGGCAGCACCACCAGCACCGCAGCCCAAGCCCTCCTCGGCCTCCCCTGCGCTGAGCCTCCCTCGGGGTCCCGGTGAGCAGGTCTGCGATGAGAGTGCTGCAAACAGCCTCCATCCCGACCTGGTACCGTCCCCGAAAACCGGGATAAAAACCCCTTAACACCAATGGAGTGCTAAGAAGCCGGCATTCACTTTATTGCAGCGCTGGGTGCACGACGGACAGCTCCTCCTATTGTGCACCCCCAAGGGGTGTTTGCTAAAACTTTTTATTTCTCTATTATCTACATATGCATTAAATTCTAGGAAATGGTCATACATATTCATTCCATTTCCCGGAACTGAATACAATATCCCCCACCCTCACACGCATGCGCCTCTATTCTTTGGGAGTCTCTGGGAGTCTTTTTGAGACCCCCTGGTGTTCATCTTCCTGGAAATCACTTCCACATATGGCTTCATTTTGGCTCAGTGGGTCCTGCCTACCGTCCTGCTGCAGCCAGTTCCACGAAGATACGGAGGTCCTGACCTTCATCTTCTCCTGGTGTTTGCTGCTTTTGTCCGGATTCTCTCTTTTGTCCATATCCTCCTCTTTTGTCCATCTCCTCTCATAATACACCAGCAACAGCAGTGAAAATATGCCCTTGGGTGCATCTTCTTCTGGGCTTCCTCATAACAGCACCGATTCCAGGCGATTTCAGGGCGCTGCCCCGGCTTTGCTCTGCTCTCCCCGGCCTCCCGGCTGGATTCGTCACCGTCACGGCTGCTCTCCTTGAAGCACTGTCCTTAGGGTCCCCGTTTTCAGCGGCGCCGGGCATGATTCCGCAGCAGGATGTTTGTACCAGGGAACCGGCAGCACCTGCTCCGTCGGCCCCGCAGCTCCGGGAGCAGCTGGATGCGGGACCAGCAGCGGCTCTGGGCTGGAATCCGGCTCTTTTGTTTCCTCCTTGAGACATCTTATTAGGAACTTCTGCAACAGAGACACTGACCTTCCGCGTGAGGGCCCCTTTGAACCTGCTTTCCGCCCTGAGGTGCAAAAGAAACCGAGAGAAATCCATTTTCTTTCCTCCAAGACCCCCGAGTTCTCAAGAACTTCTAAAGGTCAGAGAAACCATAACTGGGACATCTCTTTCTGCTGGAAGAAAAGCCCTTCATCATTTTAGATGTTGATTAATCAGGCTGCTCTGCTCCCGCTCTGCCTCCGCTCGCGCCGGCAGGAACGCGGCGGCTCCGGCGGGAACGGGCCGGGCGCTCCAGGCCCTGCGGCCGCTCCGGCCTGCCCAGGACCTGCATAATGCCGATGAAACGGTCATTTGAGAGCGTCCGGGCCGCGGGAATAAAGCAGACATTATGACAATATGGATCGATAAGTCCGCAAGGATCCTCCGCTGAAACGCCCCGCGATTGTTCAAACCAATCCTTAATTGTGACAGGAATTGATTTCTTCTTTGCAATATCCCTGACTTTAATTAAAAGGTAGTTAAGTAGACGGAAAGTTTCCAGGACCACTTGGAGCAGCAGAGCGGAGCAGCACGTGCACAAGCGGCCCCGGGGCGCCGGGATCCAGGGCCGGTTCGGCCGCAGCAGCCCCAGCGCCCATCCTGCGGTCACGGCCCCTTTGGGATACACCTGGGAAGGGAAGAGCCGGGGAGATGCAGAGGCTCTTCCAACCTTCCCATATTTTTCTTCCCAGGGAGCTTCCTGCTGGCAAGGGCAGCAGCGCGGCGTGGCGGGACGTGCTGGAAGGCGGCTGTGACCCAGCCAGGCGCATCTCAGTCATCTCCTATTAAAATAAAACTGGCCAAAGCAACTTAATTTGGCTGGAGGGAGGCCGTTAACATCAGAGGCTCCATTAAAAGGAGAAATGGGCCTTTTACCTGGTCATCAGGGATCATAAAGGAGAAAACCTTTGAGGAGACCCATAAATCCTGTGGAAACACCATCCGGGAGGCACCGGCGGCAGCTCCCGCAGTGTCTGTGCAGGCACCTCGGGGCTGCTCTGTCCCATCATTCCGCACACACATTCCCGTTCCATCCAAGTAAATCCAGGAGCAGAGATGTTCCAGCGCTTGCTCACGCTGCCGGGGAGAAGAGCAGGGCCCAGGACAGCTCTGGGAAGCCGCTGCTCCTTGTTATTCCTCCCCAATGCTGCTCATTCATCCCCATTATGAACCCTGGGCGTATGAGCCTTGTAAATGCAGCGCATTAATTTATATGATTGGGCTCATCACGCATGAACTAAAGTACAAAGAACACCAAAAAAAAAGCCGTTTCCTGCATTTTTCAAGCCCACGGGGGCAGGGGCCGTCACCGCAGCTCCCAGCCCGTCCTCCCCAGCCCCTGGCAGCCTCCGGACCCACAACCTCCCCACGGAGGGGTAGCGGTACCCGGGGGGCTCTCGCTCTCCAGAGCCGCTGCAAGAGCCCAGACAAGGTCCCGGAGAATTTGCTGTGCTATAACGCATTCCTAGGCCCTTAAGCTTTTAATTCATCTGGCTTTGCTACCTTGGATATTCCGTTCACAAAATCAGCGCTGTCCCCAGCATGATAAAAGCCGCCTTTAACGCTGTTGGGTTATTGCCTCAAACAACGGCACATGATCCGACACTTTAGAGTTTGATTTTCCTGCCTCCCGGGACAGGATTAGAGAGAAATATTTCTACTAATTCTTCCAATATCCTTCAGCAAGCGCAATTTGGACGAGCGAGGACATCAGTTCCCGGCGCTAGTACCTGGAAGGAAGCAGCTCCTCGCTTGCAGGTGGCCAGAGGCACTCGATGGCAGCCCGGGCTTTGACGGCTTCGCCCGGCGCCGTTCCCGAGGTGCCCAGGCCAGCTCGCGCAGCCCTGCAAACCCCTGCCCGCTGGAAAACTCCTTCCAGGGCGTTTTCCCTGGATGGCAGGGAATGCCAGAGGGAATTGTGCCCGCGGTGCTCCCCGCGTCGGGGAGCAGGAACAGAGCTGCCGCGGCAGCTTCGGGGAGCTGCAAAGTGGCTGAGAACTGACCCAGACCGTCCTAAGGGAGCCCTGGACACCCGTTACCTACTGCTTGACTCCATAATTACTGTATGTATGATTCCTTTCCACATTCTGTCTTTATGAAGCTAAAAGGTCTGTAATTAGCTACATGGCTTAAGTGTAAATTTTCAATTAATTCATCTTAGGAAATATAATTGCTTATTAGAGATAATGTTGCGCATTCCGTAACGCTCAAATCTCTTTGCAATAATTTAACCCAAATACAATAGTTTATGTCACAGCAGAGGTTTCATTACACAGAAACACCCAGAGTGGTCGGGGTTGGAAGGGACACCTAGGGATCATCCAGTGCAATCCCTGCTCCAGCTGGGACACCCAGAGCACAGGGTGGCACCCAGGTGGGTTGGAAGAGCTCCCGAACAGGAGCCTCCACAGCCTCTATTCCTGGCACCCAGGTCTGATGATTTGACCTTTGAGTCCATTTAATTTAGATGTTAGAGGAGTTTTATCTCTGAACTTAATATTTTATTTACGAAGCCATGTCAACACGGCCTATCAGTTTAGCAGCTGCTGCTGCTTTGCAGTGAGACACTGCTTAGGATGGGACAATCTGTCTCGCCGCGTAATGTCAATGCTGTGGCACTTGCACAAACACAAAAATCACTACGACATTAGCAAAATACAACAGGCACGCTAGACACTCGGAGAAATACCGTG